CAGTGACTGGACTTTTACTTGTTCCTCATACTTCAGAAGGTTCAGATCTTGTTTCGGTAAGAATTAATAGAAGGTAAACTTGTAAACTGTTCTAATTTGCTCTAGGAACAATTTCCCACAGCTGTCCACAAGAACAGAGGGAACTGAAATCCATGTTAAAGCTGTCTGGCAGCTTTAAAATCCGTAAAATTCCGTTTCTAACACTCATGAGAAGTGAGGCTTTCAACAGATCCAACTCTCAGACCACTGAATACTGGCTTTTCTACTCCCACTGGGTATGAACTCTTGTTCAGACATGGGGATAGAGTCAAAGTGCTTTCAGAACTTGCTCTTGTTAGATCTTATTTTAAAATAAATAAATACATAAATATGGCATTTACAGTTATAAGTGACTGATATTAATAAGTAGTAGAAAAGGAAGGAAAACAGTTTCAGTTTAGTCTTGATGTCTAATTAATCAACTGTTCTTACTTTTTACTATCCTACCACAGGAATTCTTTGGCTCCTCAAGATCTGTACTGTTTTCTTTAAATCTAGAGATACGGCTCTGACGTTCTTCGCATACTGTATTTCCACAAACTGAATGACTTTGAATATATGGTATTTTAACACAGTCTGAGAACTAAATAAATGAGTATTAATGCTATACAGGTAATGCATGACAACACTTCATTATCTGGAAGTGTTGATTAACTGACATAACAGAGTTTTGCGATTAACTTTGCAATATTTAATGTTGCAGAGGGCAACACAACAACATGTGATTTACAGCATGGAAAAATTTTTCAAAGTGACTAAATGCTACAGAGGGGAAAATCTTCCAAAATGTGAAGGTGTCTTACGCAGATCCTTCCATCCCTCAGATGAGCCCTGAATCCCTGAATTTAATAGTACGTGTGCAGCCTCAGCATCCTCCGCAGGAAGCTGACAGGCCAAGTTGCCACTACCTCCTGCCATGCCACAAGCTCACCATTAAGCCCTGTCCTGCTCCGGCTGCAGGACTGCATCCTGCCTAGATCTGAAGGATCTTTCAGACAAGGAACAGTAATTACTTTGAATGGTCTTGGAAAAAGTCATCCAAGTTATAAAAAACAAACTGATATCTGTTCTTCTATAATAGCCCTTTTAGGACAGCAACAAAAACACACTGTTTTCTACAGTACTTTTTTTAAACAACTTTTGACAACACCTCCTCCTATCAGCTACTTAGAAGCTTCCATCTATTCTGTTTCTTGCAGCCAGTACAAGCCCCATTTTGTGCACAGCCTATCCCTAAGGAAAGGGCAGATTATTTGCTTGCTGCCATTGTGCACCTGGGGAAACAGACCTACCTGTTTGTACATACCCACAAGCAAGGCAGGTGCCACCACGTGTAAAACACTGAACGCTTCCCGGTGCATAAAACAAGTTACTTCTCAAGTTGCCTATGTGCCTGGACAAATCATAGATCATAGATCATAGATCATAGAATGCTTAGGGTTGGAAGGGACCTCTAGAGATGATCTAGTCCAACTCCCCTGCACACGCAGGGTCACCTAAAGCACGTGGCACAGGACTGTATCCAAGTGGGTTTTGAAGATCTCCAGAGAAGGAGACTCCACAACCTCTCTGGGCAGTCTGTTCCAGTGCTCTGTCACCCTCACTGTTAAGAAATTTTTCCTTAAGTTCCTGTGGAACTTTTGGTGCTTCAGTTTGTGGCCATTAACTCTAGTTCTGTCAGTGGCCACCACTGAAAAGAGGCCAGC